TTTTTAAAAAGGTTAATTTATTTACTAACAAACCGTACCCAAAACCGTTTGGATTAATTTACCGATTAATTGCTTCCAATTAGCCCACGCAAGCAATGCAAAATTTTTGGTTTTTGTTAGCTTTTTATTGTGCTCGCCGTTTTTTATTTTGCCGGCGCCTTTTTGCCAGCGCTTTTGCAATAAGCAAGGGTTTATCCCGTACTGCCGCGCGCAAACGGCGAAGGTTTTAAAACCGCTTTAATCGAAAACTTCCAGGGCTATCAGGACCCGGGCTTTATTAACCCGGGCCTTTTTGCGCTTTTTTTCGTACCGGATTTTAAGCATTTCGGTAAAATTTGGCTGGAAAACCCAAAAGCGCAAGGCCTAAATTGGCGGGGTTAAAATTACGATGGTTTTTTGGCTATGTACCGTGCCTACAGGAGTTTGGCTAACTATTACCTTTTTCGGCGATACATTGGTTTTTAGCTAATTTGGCTGGGGAAAAATGTTACAAAAAAACGTCGAATTGCCCCGAAAACGTCGAATTGCCCCGCCGCACTTTACTCCGGAGGACCGTTAAATTGCAGGCGCTTTTAGCCCGCACGAGTAGCGGTCAGCGGTAAGTGCTGGGTGCTTACCGGCCACAGGAAGGCGGTACCAGACCGCCTCGGCTGCACGGGCCACAGCCTGATCTCTTCGCACATTCGATTGCATGGCGTGGTAGCCTCCCCAGCGCGCGCTTTTGCCTGGCCTGAAGGCCGGGCTGTGGACTTTTCCCGCCCCTTCTTGCCTCGATGCGAATGCAAGTGGCTGTTCAGAGGCCATGCGTTCCATGCACAATCCAAATTTGCCTGTTTAATCGCTCAGTCTCGTTGCTTCTCTTTTATGCAGCGCCGCGTTACGTCATTGTCACAACCAAGGAAGCTGATTTCGCTCGAGCTGTCAATCAGATCATCGACAACCCGTCACAACCAAGCTCGTGAGCAGGCTGCGCGGGTTTCCAGCGGGTTCCATAGGCACCCACCCACTGAAAATAGGGCCGCCCACCCGCCTGCTCCGGCCAGCCCGCTCCTCCAGCCGCGTGCGTCAATGCCTTGCAAACAAAGTTTTCAATGAGCTTTCTATGCAGGCCTGTCGACCCGCTCGTCTCAGCCTGGACTCCTGGAAGGCTGGCGCAGGTGGAGCGCGGAGTAGGCTAAAGGGGCACAGGGGCAGAGATGACGCTAACGAGCACGGCTTCGCGGCCGCGTTGCCCGTTCCAGGGTAGATCGTCCGTTTCTCGGCTCCGCAGTGGTTGTAGGTATGTTGGCACGGACAAACAAAAACAAACAAACAAACAGCGCTGGTGATGGGAGGCCGGTCGTCATGTTCGCTCCCCGCGACTCCCCGGCCTGCCACAACGGCATCGAAGTCAACAGTGTCTTTGCTGGTCAATGCCAAGCCTCCTGACAGCTGCTCCAGCGGCCTTGTAGCTAACAGAGGCTATCATGGGGCTACTATAGAGTTCGCATTCACGGCCATCCTTCCTCGTCCTGGTGCCATTTTTCTTCTGGGATCATAATTCCGTCATCCGTCGCCCAATCCCACGAACAAAGCGTGGAGCTGGCCCCACCCTATCCAGTCAAGTGGGCCGGGATTTATGTATGCACAATGCGGACAGCAATGCACTCAATCCAGTAATGCAATGGTTGGGGAGGTTATGCAAGCTAAACCCTCGTGCCCGCACTTGGCCATGACATCACATGCATCGCTGCCGACGCCCAAAGCCGTGCAAGCCACCATCACGTTGTGCTAATTTCCCCTTCCCCTCCTCGGCTGCTCCACGATGACAGCATCTCGATGTTGCGGGGCTGTTGAGGAAACTTCCACCAAAGCTGCCCGGTTTTTGCAACGTCGGGCCTGCCTTGGCTCGTGTTAATGCGATGCAGCCACAGCACGCCAGCACCTCCCTCCTGGCCAGAGACACATAACGGCGCCGCTTGACATGAGCGCGCGTACCTGCATATTCCTTCCCCTCTGGGCAACCGGCCGCCTTGGTCCATGTGGGTGTCGGCCGTGGCTTCGGGCCCGACCTGGCCCCTCCCTCAAGGCTAGCAGATATTTGCCGCATTCTGGATATTTACTGTGTTCACCAATAGTCCAAGGCCACCTCGGCATCCATCATGCTCTCTTTTTTCCCTACTGCCGCGCCGATCCAACCAACCAGATTACATCGCCGCATGTGGGCAGCGGCAAGGATGCCCGCCCTCCATCGATGGGACATGGCACCTCCATGCGGCCAGTCCCCCTCGTCTTGGTGGCCAGACCGGCGCGAGACTGTCCCAACAGATTCCGCCCGTCAAAATGCTCCCAAAAATAACGAGAGAAGCGGACACCTGTTTCCGACCCTCCCTCCATGAAGCCATGTGACGCTAGACGGCCAGTCGCGAGCATCTTGCCACCCGCTTGGCCCCATCCAACACAAAGTTTGGTGCTCATCGAGGTAGCCTCGCAATTTGCGCCCTGCAGTAGCCAGCGCATCCGGCACAAAAAATTCGCGCGCGCAAGGCCGATTTGCCCTGCGTGATGGTGCGTCAAAGAACAGACTCGAGCGGCCCTCTGTCTGGCCGACGGGTATTTTTCCCGGCATGGCGTCGAGACGAGGCATGTGGGCACTTGGGCAGTGAGTTTTTTTTCTTCTCCGTTGCCACTGCCTTCCCCACGCGAGTTATTCTCAGATCTGCCCCATTGCCCCATCTGCGAGTACCGAAAACCCGATTGGGGCGCATTCTTCAGCACTGGGACGATTGCTCATGTTCTCGCCCGCGACCGCGCCTCCCGGTTTGCCTCTGACATGGCACAAGCTCACCCACTTGACCGGCCGCCGCATCCCCTGTCCTTTGTCTCCCCTGCCAGCGAGCCCACGAGACGCGCGCTGACGTGGTGTTGCAACCATCACGACCGACGCCAGCCCTCGGCCGTAATGGGGTCAGGGAGCGAGCCCTCCAGTGTGGCACGGGAAGAAGGAGGGGGGGAGGGCGGTAGGGTGCACACGGCCAGTGAGCGCGGCGCTCGACGACCGCGGCAGCGCCGGGCGATATGCGGTACATGGCACCACCACCACCACCACCACCACCCACTGCCGCTAACTCTCCTTCAGGCACCAGGCACCGACGTCGGAGCGGTACCTGGCCTAGGCTGGAGGTGGGAGCCGTGAGGGTGGTGTGGATGCCCGAATTTTTTTCCCAACGCCGGGCTTGAGCCTTGGCAGGGCCAGTGCGAGGGCCGTCTCGGTCCGCGCGTGGTGGGTGGCCGATGCGCGCCCGTGGTCCGTCCCTGCAGCAGCTAAGCGACGACGCAGTCACAGTCGGTGCCTGGGTGCCCGTATACCCGCCAGCGTGGGAGGGTTGCCCAAGGGCAGAGAACCCTCTGGCCCTCCCAGAGCCGGCCACGTCGGATGCGTGTCTCGGGCGCGGCAGCGAGGGCTTGTCGAATGCACCCCTCCAGGGTTCCATCGTGCCTCTGTCTGTCCGCCCAGGCTTTCTGTTCTTCCTGTCGCTTTCGTCCCTGCTGTTGCACTTTTTCCTTTTGCACTTTGTTCCTTGCATTAGCCCAAGTTCTTGGAGGGTCGCGCCGGGCGCCCATTCGCTAGCGCGGCCTGGTCTCGGCTGGCCGGTAGGAAGGTTGGGTGGGGCAGTGGGCTGGGCGGCCCATGGGTCGGTCTGCCATCGTTTTTTTTCTGTCATTGGTAATCCTTTCAATCCGCGCAAGTGGCACGTGACTGGGACACTGCACGGGTCTTCAAGACCCAGAGTAGATCGGCATCTAGCACAATTTTCTTCCAGATACCATCACTTAACCTGCCAACCTGCCGCCAAATGCTTTCACGCCTTACATTAGGGCTAATAACCTAACAACTTGCTTGAATTTAAGGGGTGAGTGGAAGCCAGTTCCAAATCCCAATCTCTTTATTGTTAATTATATAAACGCTCGCATTATTGCAATAACACGCGCAAAAGTGGTTTGTAACAATTAACTATTTCCATACAAATTATTCTTACTACTAGTTACGCTTAAAAGTGCAAGCAAGTTGCGAAAACAATTTGGCATTAAGAACTAAATACGAATAGCATTATAAAAAGGCATTGTTGTAAACTGGGAACGAGCAGTGTTAAGAACTGGAAACACTTAAAAAGTACAGTAGCGAATTTTTGGTTTAACCATTTTGCTATCCTTCAACCATGCCTAGTCCGACCTAATCCCTGACCCTGATATGCCTTGCGGTTGGCTAAATACTCCTGCCTCGCGATAAGGAACTCGTGTCCCATCGCGTTACTTTGTTTGAATAATGTCTTGTTCCACCATCCACTATCCACGGCGAGCTGTCTCGGGCACCCAATCTTCCGCACCAGGCCAGTCGCTCCTGTTTCCCACGCTTTTGACCATCCTCCCCTTGGCGTCCAGTTCGATGTCGCCGGCCTTCGCCCTCACCTTATCCCCGACCGTTTCGCCCTTGGCGCTGGCGCCGACGCCCTCGAGGCCGGCGCGGGGTGGTGGCTCTTGGACGGCGGCGCGGTGCCCAGCGGGTGCGTCTGGGCGTGGATCTCGGGCATGGTGGCCTTTGGGAATGGAAAGTACCGGTTGTCATGTTGGAGTTTGGGCAAGACCGCAGAAGAAAAGCAGCGTCGGGCCCCTATATAAATATGCCCTTTAACCACCATCTCGATTGCGAAATGATGTTCTCTTCGTCCACGATCATTTATACGGTGCAATGTCGTTAAAGCAGGTTTAAAGCGAACAGGTCGATGGTATCACAGCTGCATCACCCCGCGCTTCCTGCGCGGGGAGCATCATCAAGCCTCGCTGCCAGATGCTTTCGAGAGATTCCCATCTTCCATTTAAAGTCGCCACTAGCCACCGGCAGTCTAGATGCAGATGCACAACCGCTGGTACGAGGCTGGCAATTGGAATTAAATGGAACAAATCGCTTAATCATTACGGTGCGAAGCCTACATGCTCTAGCAACTACAAGCGGTCCTTTACAGCCCTTTGGGTTTCTCTTTAACCCAGCAGCCGGTCCAGCCAACCTCCACCAGGATGGGCTCCTCGTAGTACTCCTTGAAGCGGTCCGTGACGTCAAGCAGGAACTGGGAGCAGTGCTCGGTGTGACCCCAGCTGGCCGTGATCTCGTCAATGTTGCGGCCTTCGAACAGCGCGACGTACTGGCGCCGCCACATCTGGACGCAGTGGTTGATGTGGTCTCGCTGCGACGTGTCTGTGCGCCGTCACCGTTTGTCAGTCAGTGGGCTGGGACTAGCCGCATCGGTTGCGTCGCCGGAAAACAAAGGAAGTGAAGAGGCGGCGGGGATTTTCGTCGTCCTTACAGTAGTGGTCCATCTCCCCGAGGGCGGCGGGCCCGCCCTCGATGCGGTGGGCGCGCGCCTCGTCGCGGTACCCGTACCACGTCCCGTCGTCGGCGTACTCGTCCTCCCACTCGCGCGAGGTGCAGGCGGGCGCGACCCAGTGGTTGAGCAGCATGTCGTAGCGGCAGCCACTGGCCTTGGCCTCGGCCGTCGAGGCGCCACAGCTGACAAAGGCCGCGCCCGACGTCGCGTTATGCAACGGTGACGACGACGGAGATGACGACGCCGCTGCCCCGTGCGGCAGGGGCGCCGCCAGGTCCACGGCGTGCGCGCCCGCGTGCGAGTGCTTACTGCCGCTCGGGGTCGGCGGGGACGACGACGGCTTCGTGCACGACGCGCGCGGGCTGTGGGGGAGGACGAGGAAGATCCAGAGCAGCGAGGTGAGGACGAAGACGAGCGAGTGCGAGACCACAGGCCTCACTGCTCGCCTCCACCTCCTCTTCGACTCGGCCGCCTCAAATGGCGTGGCGGTACTCGGCTCCCCGCATTGCGCCTCGTCGTCGGTGTAGTGGAGGAATGGCTTCTCGTCGGCGTTGGAAGGCATCGTCTTTTTGTCCCGTGGTGACTGTCAGTTGGGTGCTAATACGCAAGCAGCATTCAGGGTAAGGGCTGCGTCAGGGTGTTAGTAAAGCAAATGCATGCAGCATGCAGAGAGGATGGCGCCGTCAGCCCGGTCTAAATACCCGTCTCGCTCTCGTGCCCCTTCTTGCCCAGCTTCGGTCCTCTGGCTGGGCGTTTCAAGGGCAGGCTTGCCTTATTCAGACCATGTCTCGGGTTTGGACGAGGACTGGCTGGATCGGCGTTGATCCGTGCCAGGGGCTCCTTGGGGAACGAAACATTGCATCGACAAACCTAAAATCAACGTCGTGCGGTGCTGGCAGCAGGGGTCGTGTGGCCTACGGTTGTTTCACACCACCCCTCCTTGGTTGCGTTGCGCTTGGCCATGTGGGGATGCCTTGCCAGACGACGCAGCGCGATTGGCGGCTCAAAGGACGAAGAAGGGGGTTCCCGGCACGTCCCGTGTCTCGGGCGCAGCCTTCAATGCTAGCGCCACCAATGTTGGAAAACAAAGAAGAAAATGGCGCCACAGGCGGGTTTGCTATGCTGTAAAGCTGAACAAGACAAAACAAGACGACGGTGATCCCAGTCCTTCATGTAACCACCAGGGCCTCCCCATTGCCAACGTCGGCAAAGTTGGGCCGTCTCCCCGGTCTGCCCTCCCTCGCGGCCTCGGCCTCGAGCCCGCTCTCGAGCGACCGGACACGGTCGCGGAGCATGGTAGCGCGCGGGAAGAGGCCAGAGTAGTGCAGGGCGCCGTCGTGGGCGCGCACCCACACGCGCGGCCGCAGCGCCCGCTCCAGCGCGAGCCCGGCCTCGACCCCCTCGGTGTGCTGCATCCACAGCTGGTAGTTCTCCTTGAGCGGGTGCAGCATCGCCGCGACCGACACGCCGCCGCTGCCCCCCGGGCCCGAGGCCGCCCGCGCTAGTGCCTCCGCCGCCGGCTCCCGCGGGCCGAAGCCGTGCGGGAAGTTTAGGATCGAGTCGCGCCGCGGCGCGTCGCCCTGAGCCGCGCTGGTCCGCCACGCGACCATGCTGCCGGAACAGATCCAGGCGCCGGCCAGGCGTACCACCGAGAGCCAGCTCGGGAGCGCGCCGGGAGGGGAGGTTTCGAGTCGGGGCCAGCCGCCACCGCCGCCGTCCAGGCCGTCGGGCGAGTTGACCTCGGGCGTGGTGACTATCGTATTGAAGTGGCCCCAGCCCTTAACCAAGGCGTGCGTGTTGGCGTCGCAGGCTACAACCGGGATGGACGGGTCGAATGTCCGCAGCGTGGGCTCGTTGGCGTGGTCCGACAGCTCCAGCGTGAGGGCGATTGCGCCAAGGGGCGAGCGCTCCTGGCCGTCATCCGGCGTGTCGGCGTCGCCTGCAGCTGACGCCGCGAGGGCGTCGATCTCTCTAGCCATAGCCTCGACTGCTGCGCCGTCTCTCGCCGCAGGCTGGCAGGGCTGGGGGATGGTCATGAACCAGCCGCTGATCATGGTCAAGTCGCCGACAAGCCAGGGATCAACAGCGATGTGGAAGTAATGCCTGGCGCCACGTGCCTTTTCGTCGCAAGGGATTGGGATGGAATAGAGCCACGAGTTCTCGCCATTGAGCGATGTAATGATCGGCTTCGAGATGGAATCCGGATCGGTGGTGAAGTGGGCCTCGAGAGCCGCCCTTCGCTTCTCACCAAACGTGTCCATGCTAGCGCCACTTGCCTCGGATTACCTTGCTTGCGTAGGGACGGCTGTATTGTGGTAGGGATATTGGCTGCTCTGTTGGCAAAGACGAAGGTAAAGTGGTTTAAAGCCTGGACGGAACGCTGGAAGGGGTGGCCATGAACGGGGACAGCAGGTGCTTGAAATAAAAAACGGGCCCATCGCTCATGCCATGCCTGGGTTCCAAGCGCTACCGTCTTACTGCTGATTCGTATAGCTGATATCGAAGCCAAGCCGAAAGGACGTACGCTAGTGTGGCTGGGGCGGGGGTTGCCAATCCTTCTCAGGCAGAATAGGGTTTAGGGCTATGCTAACTGGGACAACAATCCGAGCACTTCGGACTTGGAGAGGTCAGATCTGTGTATATTTTAAGCCAATGGGCATGATCTCACTTTGAAGCTAACAGGAGTGCCCGCTGTATGACGACGTGGTGACAGTGTGGTGTACTGGTGGTGACGTGTTACAGCCACACACGGGGTCTCACCGTGAAGCAAAGGTCAGGTCTACCCCCGCCACCCTTTGCCCGCTATGCCGCCGCCAAGGTAGGGCGGCGGGACCTCGCCGACGCCGCCGACCATGCGGTCCTCGTGCTCCTCGACAACCTGGTAGTCGGGCAGGGCGTTGTCCGGGCCGGCCTCGTTCCAGGTGCCCAGGACGTCGTCGGCGTCGTCGGGCGCCATGCCCAGCTCCTCCCGCAGCTGCGCCAGGCGGGCCGAGTACTCGCGCAGCACGTCCTCGCCCTCAGCCAGCCAGCCTGTGAGCTGGTCGCGGCGCACACGCACGTCCTCGATGGTGCTGTACGGCGATACCGAAGAGGACGACGACGAGGCGGCCTCCGCTGCTGCTGCTGCGCCGCCGCCCCCAACCACGGCGCGCGGCGGCCGCGGCCCACCTGTGTATGGCGGCACGTCTGAAGCCGAGTAAGCTGGTGGCAGGTCCGGGTCGGACGAGGGCGCGGCGGAGGCGGCCGAGGGCGGGGGCTCGGCCGAAGGCGGGCGGAAGACGAGCTCGTCGGGGGTGGGGACGGCGGTGCCGGCGTGGCCGTAGCGCTGGAGCCAGACGTTGTGTTCGCGCAGCGAGGCGCGGAGGTGGTCGAGCTCCGAAGCGAGCGAGGGGATCAGACGGCGCAGGTCGTTGTAGGCGGACTGGGCTTCAGCGGTGGAGGACGACGGCTCCACGGGAGATGGCGGCCGGGGATGCGGTGTCGCCGATGGGGCGGCCGAGGGGTCGGGTGGGTGTGAGGAGGGAGGGGCGTCGAGGCTTGGCGGCGTCGCCTCTGGCGGTTCATGGGGCGGGGTAGGTTGGGGCATGGCGGCGGATTTGTCGACGCGCCTTGTTTCCGTGTGTGCAGACTCTGGCCTCTACTAGTAAGTAAGGGTTCCTATGGTTGGCGCCAAATGGAAACCAGCCTTGGTATGTGATTTCACTTTGAACCACCTCGATGGCAACGCCAACGTGTGGGGGCTCGCTGGACTCAATTTGCCCCGCTTCATGCTGACGGGCCCACGTGCCCATGGTCGTAATATTTAACAAAAAAACGGCCCAGGTGGGCCAGCTCACTGGATGGGCATTGGACAGGCGACGGAGACTGATGCCGAGCGGGGTTTCCCGTTTCGTCCAATGCAACAACACTCCTATCCATCCATCTCGCCAGCATCGAAGCGGGCATACTGCCTACTTTATGTACATAACTCCCATCTCCCTAAAACACGGCCAAACCCCCGGACGCCCCCGCGCAAACCGTCACGTAGCTGACGGGACGCGACGCCGTCACCGTCACGGGCTCGTTGAAAATTGTCGTAAATGTCTGGACCCTCAGCTCGTACACAGCCACGACCTGGCTGGTCGCCACCATGTTTTCGACAAGCCCGATGGATTTGAAGGTGCTGCTAACCGTCTCCACTACCGGCCCCGTGGCCGCCGGAGCATCCTGGCGCCTCTCGCGAGCTTGCCCCTCGTCGTTGACCGCCGCCCCCGTGGCCTCCGCCGCGCCGCAGTCCTTGGGCGTCACGTATGATGTTGAAGGCGCCGGCGTCACCGTCACCACATACCACACAGCCGTAGTGGACGTGGACGGGTTGTTGCACACAGTCTCGGTCGCGGTCGATGTCTGGTCTGGCAGCGTGACGGTCACCACGGTCGACGTAGCCGCCTTGATGGTGATGACGCTGCCGACGCCGCCGCCGTCGCGGAAGCGGCTGATGGCCGGCACGTAGGGCTCCGTGGTCGGCATGGGCCCGCCGCCCACCACGGACTGTGACACGCGCGACGAGACCATGCAGACACGGGTGACGGTGGCGCGCTTGTGCGCCGTGGCCGACGGCAGCGCCGTGTGCGTGCTCGTCGAGGCGACGTACAGCGACTCGACCAGTGTGTTGGTGCAGCTGGTCGACCACACCGTCAGCCCGTCGGTCCTGCGCACAACCGCCACCGTGGGCGAAACAACCGTCCTGGGCGGGCTGAGGCTGTCCGTCACGGTCTCGGTGCTGCGCGTCGTGACGGTTATGGTGCTAGTCGACGTGACGGTGACGACGGGCACCGTCGGCTCGGGTTGCTGGTACGAGTAGCTCACGCAGCCCGACTTGGTCAAGGATGACGTCGTGAAGGCGTACTCGATAGCGGTGCCCAGGGTGATGTAGCTGGTTGTGTACTGCGGAAAGATGGTCGTCACTGCCGGCGGTGCGGTCGTGGTGACGAAGGCCCATACCACACTCGTTTCTGTGCTCGTCGTCTCCCGGCGCTCCATGCCAACCTGAGGGGGAGCCCCGCTGGCCAAGGCGGCCATCGCCAGGAAGGCTAGCTGATGAAGGACGATACGGCGCATCGTGCAACGGTCCTGTATGGCCCCAATATCAGCGTCGTAAATTGTATGGTGATGGGTGCAGGCCTTTCCCGGATGCGCTCAGCTACCTAGGTCACCAAGTAGGTACGCAGCCAGGGAATTGGTCGTTTATTTATCGTGCTCCTCCACGCTTTACGCTTCAAGACAGACTAGAACCAGTGTTGGGATTGTTCCTTATGATGTATAACCGGCCATGCTATCGGGGTACATTGCCAAGTATCGGCGCTCGACGGGGCCTTAGGTGCCGCAGTAAAATTATATTCCCCGTCGCCCACCTGTCGGGTGAGGATCGAGCTACATATCCCATTTCTCCGTGCCGCTTCCAATAATGTATCCGACTGCAGCAACACCACCACATGACAACCTTCCCCTCTTCTGTTTAGGGAAAATCTCGGAGCACCCCAATTGGGCATGGAGGCAGATTGCTCGGAAAATCGCAATGGCGGCGTCGCGTCGGACGGCTCAGCCTCCGTGAACCCCGAATGTGCCCTCCAGATCGAAAGTGGTAGTGAGCTGGCTGGGCTGACTAATTCGCTGGCAATTGGATGGGCCGCCCCTTGACCGACTTTCGCGTGCCCATCGTCTCTCGCTTAGCTCTAGGCTCCTACCAAGTGGGGCCTCTTGGGTCGGTGGTTGGATCGGGCGCCCGGCTTTTAAGGCTGATTACGATCAAATCTTGGGGTTTCGCGGGGGACCCTTGGCTGCCCCAAGGCCAGCCCACTGGCTGCTTACCTAAATTCTAGCAATGGCCGCAGTTTATTTCAACCGCAATTCTCGCGCTTGGAAATGCGTCCTGGACTGCTGCTGCTCGATGGATGGTAATAGCGCTGCTGAAGGCCAAATGTCATGGAGCTGCTGCCAAGTGGTAGGGGGCTATGGGTGGGCTGTGTGGACTCCCCCGTTTGTGCTACGCGAGCGGCGACGGGTGGCGATGGGAACGGGAAGACTGTCGGGGTGTGGGATTCCCCAAGCCGCCATCACTACCTACCTGGGTGGGTAGCTAGCTCCAGACCCTGTACCCAAGGACGGTGGGGGCTGGGACACCTCAGCAGGACAGGCGGGTGGCAGTCCCGGGACAGTTGCGTCAGGGAGAGGGGGGTTGCCCCTTGCTTCTGCGAACAAACGTCGCCATGGAAAGCAGCCCAAAACGCCGGACGGGCCTGGCCATTTCCGCACGCCCAGGGAATGGTGTGTGACTAACACGAAATGAGCACGGCAGCGCACGGCCCCGATGCGCGTTGTTGGGCTTGCCATCCGGTTGGCTGGGTTTAATTGCCGATGGTGGTCGTCCATGCCCAGCCGAGCGGCCGCCCGTCGACTGATTTCTTCACCCCGGGCTGTTTGCATCTGCTGGAGAAACATGCACCCCACTCCCTCCTGCGCGTTTGCCACACACCCTCAACCGGCTGCGAAACCTAGCCCTTCCATTGGACTTTTCATTTTTACTTTTTGTTTTTATTTTATTTTATTTTATTCGTTGTTTCCTCGCCATCCCCCCATGCTTGCCTTCCTCCCTCACTTCGCATCCGGTCCAGCCACCGGCTGGTTTCTTGTTACGGAAGCCGAGCAAACAATTTCCCAGTTTGCTACCAAGCCCGCGACAAGGGCCACGAATGAGGGCTTTGGTACTTGAAGAAGATATTATGTGCGTGGTGGTTAGGTATCCCGAGATACAGGCTGGTACCTGCTTCCCCAACCGTTACTTGTTACTGTCCCTAGGTATTTTTACTTATTGAAGGTACCTGTTGATAGGCTGTTTGCTGGTTTGATCATGGGCGTTATTTTTAATATCTTGGCAGAGCTCCTTACCGGCTTGGCTGCCCTGCTTTTGAGCCCAATCGGCGTTCCAGCCGTGGTCCTCATGCACATATATCCATCTTGGCTGCATGAATACGGCTTTATCCCCGTGGTTGCCTGCCAGCCTTGTATGCTTAACCCTGTAAATCAAAGCACAACTTGGGCATCTATTTGTGCATGCAAGAACGGACCCCCACGTCACAGCCACATTTTGCCTGCTGGGGCAATACACATGGGTATTTTTACCTAGAATCGTTGCTCGTGTCACCCTTTTGGGTGGTGGCAGTCTGGCCTTGGTAGTCTTCAGGCAACTCTCTGTGAAGGCGTACAGGCAGGCTTGGCGCTGGCACCACAGATGAATCTGACCCCCACCGAGCAAACAAGCCATGGAATGATGTAGGTGACGGGGGGCACATAAGCGGGAGGGAGAAAAAAAGCCGAAGGCAAGCCCATCTCGTAGGATTTCACGGCATGCCATCCGCCTTCTGTGCGGCAGCAAGGTGCTAATGTGCTGGCGTGCCAGACGGTGTCCCTAAAGAAAAAAAGGAATTTTTAATTTTCTCTTGGATGAGAATACGTCTATGGGGGGGGGGGGGGGGATTAGCAAGTTGACACCCGCCCTTTTCTACATTCCTTATCCCTCCCTCTCCTTCCCTTTCTCTTTGCATCTTCCTCTTTCCAGGCCAAGGTAAGGGACCACCACCGGGCCCCGGTGACCCAGAGAAAGTCGCGTGCCCAGTTGTTTACCAAGCAGCACGCCACCACTATGCCACTTCCCAAAACTAATCGCTCTTGGCTGGTGCTTGGTGGTGTGCCGATAGCTGACGGGAATTTGTTGTGAAGGCTGCAAGACCCATCCATGACTGAAACACAATGCCAGGCCCTGGCTGCCGGCTTGCCTTCGACCGTCCCGTCGCAGATGACCTAACAGGCTGCATCGCGCAGCACAGCCATGGTGGAGCCCTGGCCGGAATCTGGCGAGTGGGAAGTCCCCAAGGCAAGTTGGGACACAGGAGGCTGGCTAGAACCTACAGCACAGGCTCAATAATGATATCTCTTTCACCTTCGGCTATTTTCTTGCTGGCCGCGGCCATCACAGGCACCGGTGCGTCACGCCTCCGCCTCCACTTAGGCAGCAGCGGCTGACCTGGTCAGGCAATGCTGTTGATCTTTGCTTCCTGAAGGAAGCTGGTCTCGACATGCTCCTTGCCAATACATCGGTCTTGGGCCTCCGGAAGGCAGTGTCCCGTGTGGGCACCCTTGCCCTGGGCTGAGGTCGAGCGGTGGGACGACTGAACTTGAGATGTGATACTCTCCCGGGAGCCGGAAGGGCCGCAGAGACAGGCACACACACTTTTGCTAGCCGACCCGGCTCGCTCTCGCTGGCTCGTTTGACCTCGCTGGGTGCTTTGGCTCGCTTGGCACGGCTGCTGGAAGCCCGTCTGGCTGGTCTTGTTTCCCCAGCACGCTGGGAGCCCTCTGTAGCCTTCTTTATCTGACCCGCGCTACGGACCGCTGTTCCAACTGCCTGCTTTATGGCCTCTAGTCACGGCATTGGGCATTGATAAATGTCTATAGATGCCGACCTCTGCTTGGGTTCAGCAGGTGAGCCGGGTTGTTTGACCGGTTGCCCATCCTGGAGAGGGTCGCGCCTGGTTCCCGCCTCAGTGAGCAACCACCACCGCTTTGGCCAAGAAGCAAAGACCCCAGCTAATGCAATGTGTCGGGGGTGGGCTGTTCCATATCTTTCGTCTTCCCCTCCTCCATGCGTCCAAAAGTGGGCGGATGTGACAGTTCGATCCCAATAGCTCTCTGCCCCTGAGCCACACAGCTCTCTGCCCCTGAGCCACACAGCTCTCTGCTCGCATTCATCCCTTCATGCCACAATCCATGCGAAGCTGAAAGCGCCAATACACTCAGACCTCTCCTTTCTTTTTATCATCCAAAATTTCTGTAACGCTCAAATTATAGCCACGCCTTCCACGGCGGGGACAGCCAGGGGTGTGTAGGCATGTCTGCGCCGCCACGCCGCCATGCAGCAGCACGATCTGCTCTTCTAGAAGTGTTCCATGGTATCACACTGTCCCAGGCTGCCATGTAGCAGCACGATCCGACATTCTGGATATGTCCATGGGGACAGACGATCTCCCGCTGTTCCGTGCCATATGGTCAACAGGTTGGTATCCCCGCCCTCTCTTCGCAGCGTACCAAGTGCCCAACACCGCCTAAGGGACCTCCTCTGTGTGTTTATATTATGGCAGGGAAACTGACAACTGATGGGTGGGTGGAAGCCATCCTCATTTTCCCTAGCGCAGGGATAACCTTTCGGACTGACCGACGCTGGCTGGCTGGTTGGGCCGCCAGGATACCACAGTGTCTGGCAAGTGGTGGCTTCACTTCTTTGTTCTCGCTTTTGCTAGGGGAAAAGAAGGCGGCCAGCAGACGGCCTTTCCGGGTATAAAAAGGGGACGCTTATATTGCCACAAACTTTAGCTATTCTACCACAGAATCAACCGTGCACACGTGCGATTATTGTTGCGCACCGTCCCATTACCAAATTTACATGTACCAAAATAACGAGCGATGTTTTCCCATGTTAATTACGTTAATTTATAAAGTTATTAATTTAATTCCCCGTATTGCACGGTTTTTAAAGCGGCCGTAATTTTGGGCACGAATTAAATTCCCGATCCCGGTTATAAAGGTCGTTAGGTTTTAAAGCCGGGCCCATTTTACCCCCATTTTAAATTAAGCATTAACCCCGGCCGCCTTTTCGATTTTAACGCTAACCTTTAATACCAAAAAAAATACGCAATACTTACTTTTCCGGCATTATTTTTATCGCAATTTAATTAACAATGCCTTTTAACGCTATTTACGCTTTTTGCAACGAGCTTTTTAACGCATTGGCCGCACGCGCGCATGCAAAAAGCTATAATATCGTTTTGCACGATAATTATAGGTTTGCCGGCGAAATTTTCCGCACCCGGATACGTTGTGTCAAAAAAGGCGTGCTTAAGCAATAACCTAACGTTGCCGATACTTACGAAGCTAAAAAGCGTAAAACGAGCATAAAAAGCATTAATTGTTTTTGGATAACCGCTTTTAAGCGCACGGAGGCGGGCTGGGTAAAGGTCCTTTACGTTAATTTCGGTTATAACCACCCGTTGGCCAACGATTTTACCGCTTTTACGAACTTTTAACAAAAGTTTTTGCAAGTTTGCAAAAAACGAATTCTTGCTTTTTGGAAAGCAAGGCTTTGTTTGTTAGCCATTATGCAAAGCTTACGGGCAAAGCGGCCGGAAAGGATTAACTTTATTTGCAAAAACTTCGGCAATTTTTTATAAGCCTAACGGAGGATAAAGTTAAATGGGCGCATTTTTATCCAATGGCTTTTCGATGTAATTTTTTAACAAGCCATACCTTTTGTAAATTGGCAGCGTTAATTTGGCTTTGTTTTTTATTTTTTTTTAGCAATTAAATAATTTAACCAAAGTTTATTATCGAAATTGGCGTAACGAAACCGGCTGCATCGAATAACTTTTTTTTGCACCTTTTTCCGGCTTAAAGCTATTTGCAATAGCACTTAACGTAATCGCTTTTAATTGCATTTATAAAACAAATAAATTTAATTTTTCCATGCTTAATATATGCAAGATTTTGCTTTTTAAAAAAAGCTTTTCCTTTGTTACCGTATTTTTAAACAACGAAAAAAAGGGAGCTTTCGCGTGGTTTTTTAACGCTTTAAGCTTTTATTTCGAATTGCATAGCTATTTACCACTAACGTTAATTATTACAAACCGGAACCTAGCTTTAATTAAAGGTATTAATAACGATAAAAAGTTACAAGCTATCCTTAAACTTTTTTGCAAATAGCACGTAAATATAAACGTGCTTGCAAAGTGCAAACCTTACTTTTTTCCGGTTCGAAAAAAGCCCGGGACAAAAGGTCGTTAAATGCGGTACAAATCCTTTTAAGCTTTTTTTTAAGCCTGGAACGACCTTTTCGCTTTCCCAACCAAAGCTATATACGAAAAAAGGTTACAAGCCTTTAAAAATTTTAACGAAAAGGCAATAACTTACGCTTGCAATACGTAGCTAACGCTTTTTAAGGAAAATATTGTAGTTTATTGGGTAAACCGTTACAAGCATTTCGGGGTTCGCACCACTTTTATCGTTAAATTTTTGCATGCAAGGATTAAGCTTTTTATTAATAAATCGGGCGGAAATTTCGCAACGGTTTACAAATGCTTTAGGTTTTATTAAAGTACTTAATTTACCGACCTTTTCGCTTTACGGGCTTCGGTTATAAATAAAATGCTTTACGGCTTTTCTTTTGCTTTTTGGGAAAGCGTGCGTGCAAAGTTTGTTCCTTAAGCGCTTTTGGGGGTAAAGCGGGTTATTAAAAACCTTTAGCCGGAAAAGGACGAAGGCAAAGCCGGTAACCTTGCCCTTTTCGCTTTCCTTTTATTTGCTTCGCTTTGCACTTGCACGATTACGGTTATTTACGGCTTGCTTTGCTTTTACGTTATTTCCGGCTTATAAACCGCTTATAAGCTTTTGCAAATGGGGCATTTCGATTTTTATTGGCATTGGGACCGCGTCGAAAAAAAGGTTTACAAAACCGAATTTACCGGAAGGTCCTTTCGTTGCCCGGGTCCTTTTAACCCATTGCTTATTAGGTTTAAAAGCCGGCCTAAAAGTATTCTAAATTACGTTTTGGCTTTAACGAAGCGTAACCCTTCCCTTTTCGAAACGATTGCGGTTAAAAAGGCCCGAAAAGCATTGCTACCATTTTCGTTAACTTTTGCCCGGTTACAAAAAGGTAAAGGCCGTGGCCGTGGATTTAAAAGCTAAAGCCGTGGGCGAAGCAAGGGTACCAAAGCCTTTAAAACCCTAACCCCGGCCGGGTTAAAGTTTAAAACCTTTGCATTTAATTTAGGAAGCAAGCTTTTAGCCCTTAATTTAATTGCCGATTCCAATTCGTCCTTTTCGTCCTTTTTTTTACATAAATTTTGGAACCCCTAATTTTAAAGCTACCCGGGTAACCTTTACGAGCCCGGCACGGAAGCTTTTAAGCGGTTTGCACGCTTTTTACAGCGCTTGCAATATGCTAAAAAGGATTTTAAAGCTTTTAATAAGGTTTTGCAAGCAACGGTGCTTAATATCGAAAACGTTTTGTAACGATTCGAACTTATAATTTTGCCCCGTAACGATTTTGGTAATATACCGGTTATAAAAGCGAAAGGCTTTTATAACCGTTTGGTGCAATATATTAAAGCAAAGTTACAAAAATTGGTTAAATTTATAAGGTTATGCATTGTTATTGCAAATTAAGGCCTAATTTAAATGCGAATAGCTTTATTTTTTAATTTTTAATAGGCCGGCTTACCGGAACTTTAATTTAAAAGTACGTTTTCCCTACGGGGATTTAACTTTAATGCTTCCCGCACGTTATTAACGAATACAGTTACGTTATTAACAAGCATTGATCGACCAGCAAAAGCACAAATCTTCCGCCCAAATTACCGGCGGTACTTTAACAGTTTGTGTTGCACTGTGACTCCGCTATTCTGTGGTAGAATAGCTAGAGTCTGTGGCAATATAGGCGTCCCCTATAAGAACCCTTACATTTGCTTTGGTCCAGATGAGAAGATGGAATCATTCTCAACTCTTACCAACCCAGGACAGACAAACAACTTCCACATCCCCTCAGCTTGCTTCCTAGATTCACGAGTACTCCAATACTATCCCAGGACGCCGCCATCTCTGACTGCGCAGTCAGCATCTGTCTTGAACTACATTACACTTGCTTACAATCACTACCATGGCCGATCCTGTTGGCCTCGCATTCAGTGCCCTGACGGGCATTCACGCGGTTTACAAGTTTTGTGCCGACTATCGTGGAGTGGATGCGCATATTGCCGAGACCAAACGCCAATGCAACAAGACAATGGAGCTGCTCGACGAGGCTCGGTCCAGCCGCGTCAAGCTGCGACACGCAGGGCACAGGACCGAGGCCCTGGACAGCCTGTTCCGGGCGGAGCACGAGGCGTGGGAGACGCTACACGAGATAGACAACAAGCTTCTCCGGAAGGTGGATGCCGACAACTCTGGCCTGAGAAAGCTCTTCGGCAAGATGCAATTTACGGAGAACGGCCCTATGAAAAAGAGGAGCTACAAGCTGCTACATAGGTCAGTCAGCCACAGCATGATGGACCCGGAAAAAGCCCGCCGATGCCCTCAGAACCCCACGTCTTAACCGCTCTGTCTCCTTTCGGGTGGGATCCGACTAACCTAGCATGCACCCCCGCAGCCTCGAGAGCTGCAACCAGCGGCTCGAATTTGCCAATACTAGAGCCCCCGGCAGTGGCTCGGAGCCGGATGCGCGTTATTGGGCGATGCGCGCTGGGCCGCAACAGGGCGCCGACGCTGCCGTGGAGCGGATGCTCCAGGCCCAGCAGGTCATCGGCCGGAACACCTCTAACAACCGGCGGCGTTGAGCAGGGCTCCGCCCGGTGAGGACGAAACGATGCAGATGGGCGGGTATCAGAATGGCAGCGGGCTGTGCGTGGGAATGTGGGCAGTTCGAGATGGCGGGGAAGATCGGTCATGGATAGATTTCTTTTGTCACCAGGGCACTAATAGGGTCGGCTTTCTTTTGTTCTGTGAGTGGGAATGTGGGCAGTTCGAAATGGCAGGCAACATCGGTCATTTATAGATGTCATTTGTTACTTGGGCATTACCAATAGAGTCGGTTTTCCTTTGTCAAGCACAACTGCGCGTTTGGGTGGGCCTCCAATGCTCAAATTTTCATTGTGATTTACTTCGATACGAAGCATTACAGAAAAAGTCGGGAAAGTGGTGTTCTGGCCGCCGAATTTGGCTGGGCCGCGCCGCCGTTTTGGGCGGCCTCGGCAGTAAGGACAAAAGTCGATGTCAGGTACAAAGTACCTTCATGCCCCCTGCGAATTTCGCTAGCTAGCTAATAACTTACAGCTACAACCATTAACTAACAAAAACCGCATATCGCATACGCGAAGTTTTTCTTTTTAGCGTTGCCAAATATAAAAACTTTAACGTTTTTTTTTTATTTCCCTTTTTATTTTAATTTTTTAATTTTTAATTTTTTATTACATTTTTAATTCCCCGTTTTATTAATAGCTTTCCATTTGTTTTTGTTACTTTTACAATTCCCCGTTGCTTGCATAGCCCCC